TTCCTCTCTTTCTACTTCCCTCCACCTTTCCTAGCATAATTGTTTTTTTCCAATGAGTCGTGCCTTCTCATAATGTGACCAAAATGCAACAGCCTCAGTTTGGTCATCTTGGCTTCCAGGAAGATTTCAGGCTCGATCTGTTCTAGGAACCATTTGCTTGCCTTCTTAGCTGTCCATGGTATCCTCCGCACTCTTCTCCAGCACCATATCTCAAATGAGAGTTGATTTTCTTCCTAGCCGCTTTCTTCACTGTCCAGCTCTTATATCCATACATGGTGATGGGGAATGCAATGGTTTGGATGACCCTCACTTTCAGATAGCCCCCCCTCCAGTAGTATTCTCCCTCGTTTAGAGTCTTCCTTGCCTAAGAAAACCCTGCGAAATTCATGTAGTCATTAGAGGTCAACAGGCAACTTGAAGGCCTGTGAAGGCACCCTAGATAACTAGGCCATTGGAACAGTAGCAGGGGTAGGCAACCTTTCCCCTTTAAGGGCCGAGGGACTTCAGCTCCCAGAAGCCTCAGCCATGTTGGCCAATAGTCCCATGTTGGCCAATAGCTCCTGGGATTCTGGGAGCTGAAGTCCCTCGGCCCTTAAAGGGGAAAGGTTGCCTACCCTTGAGTTAAAAGAACCCCCAAACATTGACTCAAATATTGATCAGAAGAGAGACAGCAGCCAAGAAATCAGATGAAGACTAGGACCAGGAAGGGCAGCTATGAAAGAACAAGATAAGATCCTAAAGAGTAAAGCTATAAATATGAACACTAAAGTGATGATAGTCCAAGCCACTGTATTTCCCATTACAATATATGGATGTGAAAGCTGGATGGTGTGAAAAGTAGAATGAAAGAAAATAAACTCATTTGAGATAATGTGGTGCTGGAGAAAAATACTGGGGGTACCATGGACAGCCAAAAAGACAAACAAATGGGTCCTAGAACAGATCAAGCCTGAACTATCCCTGGAAGCCAAAATGACTAAAGTGAAGCTGTCATACTTTGTTGACATCATGAGAAGGCATGAATCATTAAAAAAGATTGTTGTTGTGTGCCCTCAAGTCATTTCGGACTTATGGCGACCCTGCCATGGGGTTTTCTTGGCAAGATTTGTTCAGAGGAGGTTTGCCATTGCCTTCCCCTGAGGCTGAGAGCATGTGACTTGCCCAAGGTCACCCAGTGGGCTTCATGGCTGAGCTAAGAATTGAACCCTGGCCTCCAGAATCATAAGGTAGGGGTAGCAGAAAAAGAGGAAGACCACATACCAGATGATTGGATTTAATCAGAAATGCCACAGGCCTGAGCCTGCAGAACCTGAGCAGAATAGTGGAGGGCATGGGGTCTTGGAAAGGTCTCATCCACATGGTCAACATGAGTTGAGGTTGACTTGAGGGTAGTTAACAGCAACAGTATACATACAGTATTTTCTGGTGTATAAGACTACTTTTTAACCCAGGAAA